ATGAACACGGAAGGCGCCCGCATCAGTTGGACTGGTGCTGGTAGTAGAAGGTACTGAGCAGAGACAGGCCGTAACGGTGTTCGACGTGAAAACAACAACAACAACAACAACAACAACAACAACAACAACAATCTAGCTCCTGTACTGCTGTGCAGTGCCCGGGTTGGTTCAATCGTTTCGTAGCCGTGGAGTGATATCACCTGTTTACTTCATGACGAGTCTTTGTTGGTAGTTGTCGTGGGTAACCGTTGTCAGTCCCATGGCGCACGTTTGGTAGTTGGCGTGCGTAGCACTGCCCACTGCGTGCGATCGACAGGAGCTCGGACTGCAAGTTGCTGTTGCAAGTATTCTTCCGAGTATCTCGGGCGTTAATATATCACGTCCGCTGCTTGGCCGTCGCAACGCCCGCAGGGCGACGAATACCGTGTGCTTGGACTGCGGACACCAGTGCATGTGCACAAGGTGTGGGGCGTGCATGACATTCTGCCCCATTTGCATGCAGGTATGCACACGCTGTACATTCTTCCGGGTAGTACTTGTACAACGTGCATATGGAAGCATGCTTGGCACACGCTTGTCGGAGTGGGGGCACGGCTGCCCTGGGTGCTCCATCTCTGCGTAGCATCAAGCAACACATTGCTTGGGGGAACATGTGCCGTCTGATTTTTTTCGACTTGGTCACTTATGCTTTAGGGACGTGTTTTCTATGCAGATGGTAAAAGGCCCAAATGGGGTGCAACCAGCATGTGTTTGCGTGTATGTACGCCGCGCATGTTTTGTCAAAACGGAATTTCCGATTGTGAAGTATCAAGCAAAGCACGAAGGCTTCATTCAAAATCACATCGCAATTGTTGAGTGACGGCCTCGACTTCCGGTGTTCGCCATCAAACACGCAACAACACAACAGGATATTACCGACCTGGTGGAGTTGCAATAGCAGCAAACACCGCCCACCCCGCATGGTCCTCTGGCGAGTGGAGCTGGGACAAGCTCGGAATGGCGTGTTGCAAGGCGTTGCGTCTACTTTTATTTATTGGTGCCTGGCAGTTTCCTGGAGTTCGGCAGACAACGGCGGTGCTGCCAAGTGTTGCCAAGGTTTATGTTGATTGTTTTTGGAACGTTGTTTTGCAGGGGCACATTGTGTAGCCGAGAGATCGGAAGATCAGTCTCTGTCGCGTAACCTTTGCCGTCACAAGGACAACCGGGTGACCAGTTTGTGCAAGGCATTTGTATTTTCGGAAGTAGACGCTAGAGCGGCGAATGTCTTCCCTTCGTAGCCCCCATGAGTGACGGGAGAGGTGAGAGGTGTTGATGTTGGTGACGCGGTGGTTCGGTGTCTGGCTATCTGCGGGTTTGTATTTCCAACGATATTGTGAGTGGTCCGGGCGTATTGTCCATTTAACATACTCGTATGTAGAAGGAGTCCTCAGCCCAGGTTTGGTTTTTTGGATAGAGAAAACAGCGTGCTTGATTGATACCGGTATCATTTTTTTTGTTTGTATTCTAGTAGGCGGATAGTCTGTCTGCTACCCTAAGGTAGAGGCCGGCGGCAAAATATGGCGCCCCTCAGGCCACGCTCTGATGTCCACTGTTTGATCTCCAACTCCTGTCAGACCAATAAGTATGGATACCCTGCGTTTTATTATCATTTATCGCAGTATGTTTCCCCAACTCGCCGACTAACTCCGGTCTGAAGGAATCCAGCACCATCCTCCCCTTGGCACTGCTGCGTGATTCAGCCATTTGTGACGGCAGGTTTCTGCGCACTTGTGCGAACACGTGCCTGCGGAACAATATCTCACCCCCACTTTCAAACATCAATTGTGCCTTATATAGCGACTACAGCAGAGAGCTCGAACCAAGGCTGCAAAGGAAAGGAAAGGAAGAGGTTAGACCCCGATTTATGGGAACAAAATATTGTCGATAAATGTTGATCTTGGCCAAGATCTGCCAGTTTCACGATTTATGGGAGCGAAATCTTCCGATATATCTTGGCCAAGATATCTCGAGGCCCGAAATCTGCCCATTCGAACAAATCTTGAGGCAGCGTAACGAATCTTGCCTGGGTTCGGCGCGATCACCGAAGGTCAGTCAACCTAATCGTCCATAACGCCATGAAATCTGCACGTGGCACACTCGCAAGGGTCTCTAACGCACCCTGGCGTCACTGTGTCGGCGCCACGGGCGCCGACAGCGAACGAAAACAACCAAGGCGGTCGAAAAAAATGCGTATTTGCCCTGGCTCGTTCCACGTGCGTCATCACCAGTCTGTCGAGGGACCGTTCAAAGAGTACTTTATTTTGAAGTAGAAAAATAGAGGAGGAGGAACGTTTTGCCAACGCTGCTCTGTCGTGTGCGACGCTTCTATCTCTTCATCGAATCACCCCACACCCAACCCGTTTGCACCCGAGCCAAATCCGTGAGTGCAGATGACAGCGCCGGAGGCTTGACCTCGGCACCTGCTACATAGTGAGATACGTGCATGGGTGTCATCGGCCTCGGGTTGAAGCACTTTCTTGTCAGTTCGACAGCAATGGAACAATTTTGTTTCTCCGCTTGACATGAGCTTGTGGGCAACAGCTTCTATTTTGCACCCCAGGTAGGCGCCCATCGTTAGTATCTACCCACAGGGTTGAGGCAATGCAGCTGGGGGAGGGACGCCCCTTCTACAACTGCGTCATGCTCACGTTTCGCCACACCTCGGTGTTTTCTGTGGACCAAGTGGCCGTGGTGCCTTCATCATCTTCATGCAGAAGAGAGGAGCAACACGCCGCTTTTTCAACATTCAAGATGTTTCCCCCATAAATCGCGATACTGCAAATCTTCGCGGAAATATATTGTGAGCAAATCTTGGGTCAAAATGCCAAGATATATTTGCAAGATTCTATTTCCACAAAGAAGGGTCTTAGGGCACAAGTTCTGGCTCTCGTGAACAGCACTCAGAAAACATCCAAAACTAGAGAGGGGCATGGGTCCGACCTATGAGATGATATATGGCTTGCCCTCCATGACTTGCCCTCCAGCAGTGAAACTTGCACACAGGCCTTGGAGACCCTTCCTTGCCTCTGATTGCCTCGTTTTTGCAGGCCTCCTCTTGATGGATGGGTTGCCGGGCAGAACAAATGCCTTGACCGAAACCACGCGGCCGTTCGATGACCATGCATTTGGTTGACAAACACTATCGATGGTTGTCCCACAAGCCTTTCTCAGGACCGTTATCACTCAAAAATCTGCCGGCCAATCCTTGGACGCTAACTCCTCGTTGTATAATCGAGCCACGGATCGAAAGGCTCGCATGTCGCCTGCTCTCACCATATTTCCTGCACGCGAGAGCCGTTGTGGTTGAAAGCGGTCAGTTCGGTAGAAGGGGGCGGTGTGGTCGGTGCAGACACAACGGTCCGTGAAAGCTG